CAAACTTTCCGTTTGCGATATGATCTGAAATTATGAGCTCAAATTGCCGTATATTACGGTAATTGACGTATCAATGGCAACGCTGCATTGCTTATTTACTCGGGAGTTTTTGGCGGGATTTCATCGAGTGTGGTTGGCGTCTTATTTTAATTATTCTTAAATTCGTTCATAGTGGATATTGTGAAATAAAATTGGTGTGATTTTGTGTTACGACTGTCTGCGTAACTGAAGAATTAGTAGAATCGTCAAAATATACGCTATTCCGGTCAAGTGGACTACCTCACAGAAGCTTATCGAAAAAGCCAGCTCGATACATTTCGTGCCAAACACTTCAAGAAACATTAGAATGCGTCACACCGACATTCTAATGTAAAAAGAAAAACGGAATAATTCAACTTAAGACTAGGCTGTATGGGAATTGTTCCCCTTGCCTTCCCTGAAAAGGGAGAACTAAACCAAAAAAAAAATATTCACTCGGGTATAAGTCGCGGCACGAAAAAAACGGGGGAAACGAGGTGCGCGGGTGGGCGTGCGTTGCGCTGATTGGTTCTCCAGTCGTACCCATGCACGGCTATCCCCTCAGCGTTTTGTTCAGCGCTAGAGTTACGTGCCGCGACCTGTACCCCAGTATAACTATTGTGTAAATATTGTCCAGTTACATTTCTGGTTTAATATACTTTTCAACTGGAGGTGCAACCGCAGGTGGTTAGCGCGTTCGGCTGCGATCGTTGAAGTTAAGCAACTGTCGCAGTGGTCGGTCATTGGATGGGTGATCAAAAATTTACTATCTCGAGCTCCTCCGTGCTTCGGAAGGCACTTTAAGTCGTTGGTCCCGGCTGCATCTACAGCCGTTAGCACCAATCCGCATTGGGCCTGCGTGGTGGGTCATGGCCCAATCTCCGTATTCCATCCATAGGGAAGGCCTGTGCCCCAGCAGTGGGGACTTTAATAGGCTGATGATGATGATGATGATACTTTTCAACTGAGTTGTCAGCCAGTCTCTTAGTGTTTTTCGTTATTTTTCTCGTTATAAATGGATTACCTAAATTACTTAGATTTGTTTGATCGGTGGCATTAGAAGTCGTATTGATCCCTTTCTCTTGAATGAAAACTATTTTAAATACCAATAGACTATGAAAAGATTATGTACGATAAATCATTGACTTAATAAAAAAAAAAGCAAGTTCGTGTTGTGCCACGCGCAGTGTAGGGTTTCGTAGTTGCCTGTAGTCTATCTATACATATAAAATCAAAGGTGACTGACTGACTGACATAGTGATCTATCAACACAGCCCAAACCACTGGATGTTATGACGTAGGCATTCGCTAAGAAAGGATTTTGATCAATTCTACCCCCAAGGGGATAAAATAGGGAATGATAGTTTGTATGAAACTTTGTCAATTTTAAACCGATCGGGCTGAGACTTTGCATGCAGGTATAAGAAGAATCATAGATATATGTCATTGTGTATAATACAAGCCTAAGAACAAAAACTGTAGTCTACACTTCAGCTCTACACCGAAGCGAAGCGAGGGCGGGCCGCTAGTCACAATATATTTGAGCAGGAGTCTTTACTTTGCTATATCGGAAATTAGAGAAACCAATTAATATCAATTCATTTATCTGATCTAAAATACCTAAATCAACGACAAACTGCGTCTGAAACTCAAAATCAATTCGATGTTATTCTTTTTTTGACGAGCTCCGTGGCTGAGCGGTTTGTACGCCGGGTTTGATGGTGTCGCCGACTCGAGAGGTCCCGAGTTCAAATCCCGGTAGTGGCAGATGTTTGTGTGATGAATACGAGCATTTGTACTTATATTTGTACAGTATATGTATTTTATCCGTTACCCTAGTATCCCATAACACAAGCCTTATAGTACTTACTTTGGGGATAGGCTAATTGGTGTGAGTGTTGGAAATATTTATTTATTTTCTAATACGAATGATAACCGCCGATTTTTTTGTTTCGATTTAGCGTAATAAAATCGCATTTATAATCTTATCTTAATGATTGGAAAAATGGGAATAATTAAGGGAAATCAACAGTACATAGACAAGATATCCCAATTTTAAGGACTTGGACAACTTCTATATCGACGTTGGTAGTTATTGATTGTAAATCGACGAATTGTTTTTGATTTTCCTCAATATAAGATCTTTTCATTATAGCGTACTAAGCGCAAATGGTTTCATTAAAACGCCTAAATAAATAGCTAACAATAAGTGGTAATTATAATTTAACTATGCTTAATAATAAAGTTTATTTTTTCTTTTACCAAAAATGTCTTAAATCTAGATAAAATTACCAGTTTAGTGTTAAATAATTATTTTTAAGGAGACTGGCACATAAACGAAGCCGTGGCTTGCAATATAGGACACCAGGATCTCCACCCTCGAAAACAATATTAGATATAGTTAATTAGGTACACAATTATAAGACAATAAAACCAGAGACATTACGTTGACGATTACTGTTATCTTATTCTTAAACTGTTAAGCTGGATGTAATGTAACATTAGTAACAAAAGTAAACAAAAACACTGTATTTTATGTAATAGAATTTCCACATACAAATTACTCAAAGAATCACTTAATATTCAGTAACTGTTCAGTGTGTTCGTGTTAAGGTTATATTTAATTTTATGGCGACATATGTTAATAATATTTAGGTTTTTATTAATAATAATGTAAAGTCGACACCCTCTAAAACAGAAGATTTATTAACTGAAATCATTTTTACTGTAGTGTTTTAACAAACTTTGCGATACCTCCGTAACGGGGAAACGTAACGATGTTGACGAAGTATTGTGGCATGAATATACAACTGCCTAACCGTTATAGGTGGACTGCTTAACTGAGTCCTCGCCTGCGGGGTAAAGGGTGAGGGGGCAGACGAAAACGGGGACCGTGAGAGGTATGGGCGGCAGGCAATGACTTGTCTAACTTACAAGTGCCCGCCGCCCGCACCTCACAGCCCCCCGTTTTCGTCCTCCCCCACACCCTGTACCCCGCAGGCGAGGTTATAGTTAAGCGGTTTACCCCAGCTTCTTTTTAGAGTTCAACAGTAGAATATCTTCGAACTTTAAATAAACTAACTTTTAATATTGATCTCTCTGCTCTTTCTAATTTTTGGATGGAAAGTTTTTGGAGCTCCACCACATATAATTATGGAATAGGATAGCACATATTAAAGAAAAATGTAATAGGTATTATTCAAAGTTTTTTGATCAGCGACATAAATTAGATTTTTAAATATATATGTAAGTTTAACTATTCTATTTGTTAATTTCGATATTATGTTCATTGAAAATAAAATTTTGATCTATAAGTATACCCAGATATCTAATAGTTTGCGTTTGCTGAATAGATGAACAACCACAGGATTTATTATCTTTTGAACAAGTGTGAGTAATGAGGACTTGATTTGGTTAAAGTGCAGAGTTAGGTGAATGTGGTATGGTAAACTATGTTTACGTATAAAGTTTGTTTTATTTGCGTTTAAAGTTAAAGAGTTTTTAACCAACCAGCCACATACAGTATTAAAGCCCTGTTGAGCTGCCGATATGGTATCTTTCTATGTATGGCCAAAAAAGGTTAGAGTGGTGTCATCAGCATAGGAAACTATGTTACAGTTTTTTAGGGACAGATAACAGAGGCCGTTCATGTAGCATAAAAATAGCGTAGGGCCAAGGATTGGCCCCTGTGGAACGCCAAAAGTAACATGTAAATCATTAGTTATAAAAGAACCTATTTTGACACACTGAGTACGATATCTAAGTTAAGCTGCTTGTAAGTCCAGTTGCCTTCCCCTGATTTTTAGCTTATTTATAAATATTGGAACAGACACCGTATCAAAAGCTATTTTCAGGTCAAGGAACACGGTGATACATTTTTTTTATCTATTTTGATGATTACGAGAAGTTGGTAAAGTCATGCAGAGCACCATCTGTAGAAACTTTCTTTCTAAATCCTTTGTAATCTTTGGCCAACATTTTATATTTTTCTAGGTAATTAACTAGGATGGCGTTTATAATACCTTCAAATTTTTTTGATAGTGAGATCAATATAGAGATATGGCTTACAATTACTAACTACTGCCACCTTCTTCATAGATGAGATATATTTTTCGAGCATCAGGAAAAACACCTAAATTAAATCTTTTTTTAATGATCTGGGAAAGCAAAGGTGAGAGAATCTCAATGCTATGTACCTAGATTAAGATTAAAAGGACTGACATATCCCTTTATGTAAAAAAAATCTTTACAAACAAATAGGTAAAAAAATGATATGTAAAAATATAAGGCTCTCTGTTTTCCACTAGGCAATGTGGCTCTTCATTTAAACATCAAGCACTTACATTCTTTAAAAAAAATATAACTAAAACCTAATGAGTTCAGAGCTTCAAAAGTACGTGTTGGTTTTTTATTTTATTTTTATGAGTTTAGCTACATTGTGATAACTACAAAAAAATGATGTTTGATTCAGTAAATGGAATGCTCAATTGTGTAATAAAAGTTTCACTTTAATAAACGTTAAAAAATGTAATAAAACTTATTTTAATAAGCGAAAATGTAATAAAAATTATAAGTTTTATTACATTTTCGCTTTCGCTGCAAATTTAGTAGTGCTAAGTTAACCTAAAAGAAAACGCGAAGAACACGAAAGACATAATATGTATAATGCGTGAAACAATTTCAAATTCGGTTACGATTACGTTTACTAAGGATGAATACCTAAACGATAAATTATAAACGATATAAATAATATGGAAGCTCTTGTTTATTAAATTAAAATAAAGCTAAAAACTCACAGTAATAATTAATTAAAAGACAAAAAGTATAATATAATTAATACGCCTATTCTACACAAGAAAGTTATGTTAGTAACAGTAACTACACGAAAAGAAGTCAAAAAAGAGAATGGGAAACCACCTCAAATTCTTTTATTTCTTTAACACGTAACAATTTTCGAGTAGATTATTTTCTAGGAGATCCTTTTACAAATATCCCCACTGTATGTAATCCTCAACCATGCCACGCAGTCGCTCGTTACATTTGTCGTTGTCAAAATTGAAATTGACTTTAGAAAAAGACTCATTTTGCAGGTCGGGTACATCATCATCGGAGCACATCAGAAATGGAGCTCCAAACAAGAATAATGTAAGTCCTACGTCTAAATAGTCCCGGTATTCTTGTTCAAATAGCTTCCTGGGATAGACATCATGGACTGCTATACCAAACTCACTTAGAAACCTCTCCAATGTTTCGTAATATAATTCCTTTAACTCGACCAAGTGGGCTCGTCTGAATTCCTGATCTGAACCCATGAAAACGAAGTATATGAAATCTGTTACTGGACTACCGTGACGCATTGTTTGGTAGTCGACAACAATCAGATCTTTTATATCACCATCCTGCAAACAAACGGTATCTTACTGCTATGATAGTAGGTATCAAAGAGTCAAACAATTGATTTTATTTATGTAACACTTGATAAAAAGTACAATAACTTTCAACTCAGCACTAATATTACTAATATTTAGTTATTGCTATTCATTGTTTTTTTCCTTACCGTGTATCAAGTGTATTGGTATATAATCTTTTTTGTTCTCAAAAACATAATTGGATAATTTTAAAAATAGAAACCTTTCGAATGTTTATAGAATAGTAGGGGAGCCCCATCAGGGATTTTGGGATTTACTCGAGCTCGGCAGATTAACATAAGGGGAGCGTTGCTCTGTATAATGCTATCTAATTAAGCTCTAAGTCAGCTGTTGCTTCGGTTTGTACAGCTATTAAATAGCTGTAAGACGTCTAGATCTACACTGCAAGCTATATAATTTGGGGCTCATTTTGGAGGTACAGCGACTGAATATCCGGCTAATATGTGATTTTTTTTTCTTTTATTTTTAACATAAATAATCAGTTTGATGTTATTGTTACTTATTAATTTATTAATCATATCATGTTGACTTACCTCTTCTTTAACCAATATATTATTAGCTCTAAAATCACCATGACACAAGCATGTTGATTTGTCAGTCGGAGGACTAGCGAATTTTTTATATACTTGCACTATTTTTTCCTTAAAATTTTCCAACCTTACTTTTAAATCACTATCTAAACAGTTGGCTGCAGCAGTACATGCATTGACTACATAATCTTCCAAATCCGTATTAACATCTATTGGATAAGTAAATGGTTTTACTTTCATCTCATAATACTCTGGTTTCTTACATTTCAAGACAAAAGATAAAGCATGAAATTTTGCCAGTTGTTTAACAGACATTTCAGCAAATTGCAGAGACATGGGCTCGAGCCTGTGTCGTGTTGTGAAGCCTGTTTTACTCAAATTCTCGAAAATTATGGCTTCCGTGTTTGACTCATTATAGCTTTTCACCTTTCTCAATCTTTCGTCAACTGGAATATTCGCTTCGTCTTGTAGTTTATCATATATCTTTGATAGTTCATTGTAGTAGAAAACTTCTCGTTCGTAAATTTCATCCACTTGAAAATTATTGTCTTGTACAGACTTTAATTTATTTTTTACGAATAGACTAATTTCTTTATAAGTTGTTTTAGTTTTTCCTTTAATATTTATCGTTTGTAAGATTGCCAAGTAATTTCCACCATTAGTTGAAATATCTTCGACCTCTACTTTATATTCTTGAAAGGCTTCTATTTGTGCTATTCGATTAATGCACTTGTTGATGTTCGGTGCCACATTTCCATAATTTTTGTGGTTGGATATTTCAATACAGTGACTTATACAGTCCGACATTGCTTCAAGGCCTAATTATAAATGGCAATGAGAAATGTTACCTGGATCCTGCTATCTTATATTAACTACCATTCTAAAGTCCAATGCACATAACATTAAATTTAATATTAGTAATAACAATACTCGTACTAGAGATTTGTTACACTTAAAGTAATACCATTATTAATTATGTTTGTTGATAAAATTCAATCCATACTGCAAGGAACTTCATTTTAAATTTTGTCGAATTTAATGAACCTCTGTTTAAATTGACTTCTATAAAGCTATTTTGAAACAACTAACTTTTTTGTTAAAGTAGTTTCATTAAAATATTTTATTTGTTACGCATAAAAAATATTCGGTCAGTCGGTCGGTGGCTTACCGATATTTATTGTGTAAAGTTAGGTATATTATTAGGGTGAAGCTAAAAGAAGTTTTGAGTACCTAACTTAAAAAAATATGACACGTTTCGCATCGACCCCTCTTTTAAAAAGAGAACTTTGACAAGAAACCAAGTGCAGCTCATTTTAAGAGATTTATTTTTAGTGACCAAAGAAAATACCAACGCTCATTTGGTATTTCCTCAACTAAACGTAACTGATGCATTGTATAAAATAGATTTTAAAATAAAGTCTACATCTATTAAAACTAGTATTATAGTTCAAGATAAAAATTTGCTCATTGTGCTTTAACCCTAACGTTGGTCGCCTGTTGACGCGACTACTAACATGCCAGTCATTCAGAAATAGATCGTACACAAATTACAACGCATTTAATTTCACCACTAATCATTGTGTAAACCTTAATTACTTAACTATAGACACTACTTAATATGCGTCCATAATTATTCATTATCTTAACCAAACCAAATTAAAGAATCCCGTGTTTAATTTTATTTTGATAAGATAAAACAGTCATTTCAGTTTTTCAGCAAATAGCCAGTTCTTTATTAGAATGAATGTAAATAATATTTGTGTAAATATGTATTACTAGAAAGGTAAGTAAATCAACCTTAAGATAGACATAAAATAATTAAACTATCGCATACTAAAAGTGGAACTATTCCTTCATACGTCATTTTTGTGAAACTTTAACCGTTTATACAACGCACGCAACGGAAGCACAAAAATGATTATACAGAAGGTAAACTCATGTATACTTCACTTTTCATACCTACGCTCGGCGTACGTGCTTCGGTATTGTCAACTTTGGCTTGTGTACAAAAACTATCGCAGTTGAGGTACTCTTATCTTAATGTTTCATTTATTGTTAAGAATGAATAAGTAATAATTGAAATATCAATCAACTGTCAAAACAATTTTCTGCAAGCTGTTCAGAGTATGCGGTTCATCTGCCATGACTAGTCTACTCAATTTTCAACTGTCCAGATCTGGAGCTCTACTTTCTTTCTCCGAAACGAAATTTCAGCAACGAACGAATTTTAAACGAAAGTTCGCCAGTCACTCTACTCTATTTCATCTTCGAACACGCACATAAAGTTCGGAATCACAGATAATTATCGTGAACGAATGGAATGAGTTATGTTTGTGAGTTCTTTTTGTCTACACTTTTTAGATAACGTTTTTACTTCAAATTAATATTACTTTATGACAACATTTTTGATTACATTAGAACAACCTCTTTTGACAGTGTTAGCCGACTAATTTGTAGAGTTGATGCAATCGAATGTATGTCAACCTAAATTTGTCGTGTAACACTTTGAAGTATTGGCAATGCAATAACAAACAAAAATTAGATTTATTTGTAAATTCTTCATTCTAAAAAATGTTCCTCACGCAAAGCAGCCTTAATTAAAAATACTCTAGTAGTAATTTTAGGTTTAATTTAAACAAAAATCCCAAAACGAAAATGAAAAGGTAACACTTTTCATTTCGTCAATTTGAGGTTAAAATTTCGATCAATTAGCTGTCAAATTCAACTTTTAGTTTAAAAGTTTTGTGAATTAGAGTAGGCTTAGAGAATTTAAATGTCAAACTATTTTCGGACTAACGCATTTTCGAATTGAAATAGAAACAGAGTAAGGAACGTGCGAAATTTCAGTCGAAATTTTGGTAGGCCTCCTGGCACCAAGCGCAAACACATTTTGAAGAAGTCAGCTACAAAATCTGCCAGCTGCTGAGCTGTTCACAGAGTTCATGGAAGTTAACCAAGTGCGAAAGTTAAAAGAGCACGGTGCGTGGGTAGCTTCGTGTAACCTCGTCTTACCTTTACAGAGACAACTGCCTGTCGTTGTCGGTGTTTGCGTCCGAATTAAAGAATTCAAACCGTCACTACGAGCGTCATAGTAGTGTATAGTCACGTAATCCGGACTACGTCTAACTTTAAAATCGACGAAGCAACTTCCCGAGAGTGTACCTTATATCACAGTACTTTTAATGTCATAAAATTATGAAACATATCAGCGGAGGGCATAAACTTCATTTCGCAGATAATGATTTGGCAATCACTCATTAAGCAGAGATTCAAACACATAATTGTGTAAGCCAGAATCATCTTTACGTTTGAATTTAATTTCAATAATTAAAATACAAAGATTCAACTTTTCCTCGTTAGATTTATCTATTATATGAGGTGGCTGGCGCTTCGCCGGCCGCTGCCGCGGCACGCTCGCATCGCTCGCTCGCCTAGCGCTAAATTCAGGTCTCGACAATAACCCACTGACCACCAACACTGATTTTGCTGAGCGAAATTTGGAAAGCAAAATTTTAGCAAATGCCTTATAAAATTGTGCAATCTTTAAATTGCCTATTGTCAATTCGGGCATAATATAAACATTTGTCCAAGTAATGATTATGTTAAAATAAAATGCCTTAAAAATAATCGTTTAAAGAAGATTATGCCAAATGAATTTCGGAGCAACAATATTCTGCCGGATAGAAGGAACCCACTACGTCGATATGGCAGTAGAAGTTTATTAACACCCAGTGCAATAGTATGCGTTGGCATGATTGCACTGTTGGATAGAATTATTACATGTGTAACTCTGGTTACACAAGTACATGATAAACTTACAGCCACCAATCCGATAAGCGGCCTTGGAAGAAGTTGCTTTACTTACGTTTCCGCGAACTAGACGGGCTAAAGATTAAGCCATCATCCTCTTCGGTCACTTACTCCAATAACCACAACAAAAGAAGTTCACAAACAGTGTCGTCTTTGACCTATTGGAGACCCTGTCCCTGTTTTTTTTTTATTTTTTTTTTATAGTATAGGGGGCATACGAGCAGACATACATACATTATACAATTTATCACATTTTTTATCGTGTCTTACTGTCAAATTCCATAGTAATTTGACAATTGAGCGTAATAAAAACGTGCTATATATCATATCGCGCTGCTCATGCTAGGGGGCAGGGCATATTAGGATAATGGGGCCCCTATGATTTCCGTTTGGTGATTTAACAGGAACTAGGGACTTTGTATTTGATCTGAGAGGGGCCCTATCGATCGCGGAGCCCTGGGCACTTGCCCAAAGTGCCCACTGGGAAAGACGAGTCTGTTCACAAAGCATTCATTGAACATGCAAACATAAAAGTATACATGGATAACCGACGGGTGCATCACAAGACGTAGCTTTATCTAATTGAATATAAACAATACGTTATACTTCTATTATCTGTGGCACAAAAGAGTTGGATGCATGGAACAATAACAAACAATATTAATTAATTAGATAATGCTACCGGGCAACACCCCGTGACCAATATCATGTAGCAGTCTCCTTATTATTTTTCAAGTTATTCGATTTTTTTTTTGTTTCTTAGGTTTTCACGCACATCACTCATGAAATAATACTATTTTTTAACGAAGGAGATAGAAAGCCTCTCTGAGTTTGTTCTGCCGGTTCTTCTCAGAAAGGTCTCCCAATTTTGGAACCGGTGGTAGTTTATGGTAGTTAGGGTCAAATAAATAAACTCAAAATTACAAAAAAATATTTTAAATGAAGTACTTCATTATCTAAATTAACCAATAGATTCATACATACACAATAAAATTTTAAAAATCTTCCAATGAAATAACCGAACCCTCAATAAAAGTCTTTCGAAGGTAGCTCGACAAAATTAAATAAAAATCAGTATTCTGACGATGCAGACTTGAAAAGGCTGCGAAACGTCAATAAATAAATAAAGTTTCGTGCATTAACCTGTTAAAAACTAGTTTTATTTATATATTTTTTTAGTATCAAACACTTTAAAAAACATTTTTTATTTTGTGCATTGGTGCTAGCTACTACTACTATTGGCGTTAGTAAATTCTTATCACATCAAGTTATATTAATCACTATGAACTTTTTGTTAGACAATACAAACAAACCCTAGCTGGGTACTCTTGCCAGTACAAATTACGGATCTGTCATTGAGTCGGTGTTCAGAATTTCGGAACTACAGATAAATCTGACTTCTTACCAATGTCCGATTTTGTGATGTTACTTTTACGAGTGTGTGGGCCTATAAATTTGTGCGACAGCGAATAACATGTTTACGGCAAATTATTATCATACTTTATGTCTGTCGTACATTACTTTTATTGAATATTATTCATATTGTAAGTCAGGTTAAGGGGGCAACAGCAATAGAGAAAATAAATTAATTATAAAAGCGAGAAATAAAAAGGGCGATGGCACTCCGGGATTTCCGACAGCATACTGTGTACTGTATACAGCATAAAGTAAGCATACTGTTTACAAAAATAAATAAATACAAAAATACATCAAAAAATGTCAAACAAGCCTAAAGCATATCATTTTTATTTAGAAGCATGCTCGACGTTTAACTTGTAAAGGTATTCATTTGACATTGTGGGTTACCTACAATGCGAAGAAATGGCGCTGCCTTGCAGCTTAAGAAAGGCTAGAAAGAATTGGACTCAGTCATCAGGCCCGCGGTAGCATAATGGTCAATGCATTCACCCGGATAGCGAAGGATGCGGGTTCGAGTCCCGTTTGCTACCTGGTCCGTCGTGCCTTTAGATTTAGGCCTTAAGAAGTTTTCACGTCAA